AACTTGTTCTATAAAGGATCTATTCTGCTGTGGGGATCTCAAATAAATAGAAAGAAGTCATTCTTCAAGGCAGAAGATATATATATAACAATAAAAGCAAAGCTGCAGGTAAAAGTAATGGTAATGAATACTGTAGACAAGCACAAAATACAAGATAACTATACTCTACATTCATTGCCATCAAGTCAAGAACTGACTAGCAACCTTACAGAATAGAGCTGTCCCTGTGGGTTATGAACTGCTGACCTTGGGTTGGCAACTTAACATGCAGCCCGCTATGCCACCAGGGTTCCTCAAACACAGGGTAAGATGGCTAAAATGACAACTATGATGTTATCCTTTCATCCCATTTTTGTGTGAACCTTTTGGAAGTCCCCTCAAATATATTTCAACATACACAAGGAAGAAAGCTACAAGAGATGAAGCTACAGTGTCAAAGTTGAGGACAGGCTTTGAGGTCAGGCATGACATGTCAGGAGCTGAGATTTTTATCTTTTGAAGTGATAGAAACCCTGCTGAATTGTAAGCAAGAGAAAGGCAATGTGAAGTTTTCATTTTCAAAAATTTCACCAACAGGATCCGTGGAAGATGGGCTTTAAGAGGGCACAAGACTGGTGACAAGGAAGTGCAAAGGCAGAGATGAAAATGCCCTGGTTAAAAAAATGCCTAGTTGTTAAAACAATGAAAGATAAAGTATAGGAAGGAATCTGAAATTATGTGGTGCAACTCCTGGGTATGTGAGAAGGTGGGGGTCTAAGCAGGCATTTGGGATGTCCAAGCACAAGGAATGATCAGCACATTGTAGGTAGTTCAAACCGGCAAAGTAAATGTAATTGCCCAGAAAACCAGATGGGTGGAATTAACTCTTTATCTTCATTTTAAAATGTTTCTTTTAAAGGGCAGATAAGAGAAACCCACTCTAGAAAAGCACCAAAGCAGGTAGAAAGCCAAGATAAGAATGGTGTGAGAAAATAATAAAAATTAAAAGTAGGCTCAATAATGTCAAAGGCAATGGAGGCAAAGCACTCTAATAAGGACAGGAACACACCTTTTGGGTCTGGTGAAACAAGGGTTAATGACAGTCTAGTTAAGAGTAGAAACCAGGTCTGGCTACAAGGGGTTAAGAAAACGTGAAAGGGAGAGAGCTTTAAAAGGCCTCTTAGAAGCACACCAGCCTGAGTGACCACTAGCTGTCGAAGGGATCAGGTATCAGGCATCCAAGAACAAAAAATCATATCATTGTAAAGGTGGGTGAGTGCGGAGTGGAGACTCAAAGCCCATCGGTGGGCAACTGAACACCCCCTTACTGAAGGGTTGTGGGGAGGAGATGAGCCAACCAGGGTGCAGGGTAGCAACGATGAAAACATAACTTTCCTCCAGTTCTTAAATGCTTCCCCCAGCCCACTATCATGATCCCAATTCTACGTTACAAATCTGGCTAGACCAGAGGATGTACACTGGTACAGATAGCAACTGGAAACACAGGGAATTCAGGACAGATGACTCCTTCGGGACCAGTGGTGAGAGGGGTGATGCCTGGAGGATGGAGGGAATGTGGGGTAGAAAGGGGAAACCGATTACAAGAATCTATGTATAGCTTCCTCCCTGGGGGATGGACAGCAGAGAAGAGGGCGGGGGAAGACATCGGACAATATAACTTATGATAAAACAAGAATAATTTATGAATTATGAAGGGTTCATGAGGGAGGGGGAAGTGGGGAGGGAGGGGGGAAATGAGCAGCCGATATTCAGGGCTAAAGAAGGCAAATGTTTTGAGAATAATGAGGGCAACAAATGTACATATGTGCTTGACACAATGGATGTATGTATGGATTGTGATAAGAATTGTACGAGCCCCCAATAAAATGATTTTTTTTAAAGGGACTTTTATAAAGCATGGATATAAATTTTTGGAAGGACACGAGGAGAGGGACGTATTTTACAATGGGAGACATGTGAATGTGTGCAAAATGAAGCAGAGAAGCCAAGAGAAAGGAATAGTTTAAAGATAAATAAAAGTGAGAAAAATCCCTGAGAGAGAGGTTTTGGACGCAATGGACAAAATGCAAATGTGGGTAGTAAGGGAAAAGGCAGACTGGGGCATGAAGAGGCAGGATGGACATGGCAGTATATAAATGAACCTGGGACAAGGAAGGAGCAGAGAGATGTCTAAAGAATTCAAAACCCCATTTTCTCAATTTCAAAGATAAAGTAGGAAATCAAATCAATGTCTAAAAATAAAAGGGAGGCACAAGCTGAGACTGGTCCACCTTTGGAATAATTACAAAATATATACGAAAGGGCATCTTATTACAAGGCAAAGAAAGGAATTTTGAAAAAGTAATGAGCATTATGTAGACTAGTGATTATAAAGTATTAATATGAAAGCACATTGTTACCCTAAGAGTCAAATGGACAAAAGACCAAGTTGATCATTCAAAAAGGAAATATAACTAGAAAGTGCAAATTAACACTAGGTTTATGGGACGTGTCATTTTCATGCATTTCCATTTCCTCAACAAAAGTTACAGAAACCATTTATATGTAACTCCTACCATTTATCTGACTGAACAAGCGAAATACACATCCAAATTAATTTTCTTCGAAGCCTCTAATCTTGAAATTCTCCATGTGGTATATACCATTAAACCTATCTCTACAGATACACATCGATTTGATGCGAACGTAAAGTGAGTATGAATTCCAGTAAATCAATTTCATTCATGGAAACATTACTTCAGTAATAAATATAAAGCCAAAAAGTTCTTAGAAAGCAAACATAAAATATAAACGATGCAGCAGTGACGTCATACTGACCGACCCGAGCGACCTTTACAATACCCTGAACCCAGTATCTCAAATGTTGTAGAATGCTAGGTTCTGTAAGTTTTACGTAAATATATATAGTATCATTGGGTTTCATTTATAAGCTACTAGTGTATAATTTGATTGTGTTTAGATACAATAAGTTGTTTTTCAAAGAAACTACGCGGTTTAATTCCTGTGTCCGTAGAGGTCTATAAGCCTAGTGTTAAAAGAGACAGAGAGCGCCTCCTTCTAGAGCCGGCTCCCAGGCTTCTCGCTCCAGAAACCGAGGAAGCCACGCATGTGTGGTCCTTCTGGTATATGTGCTCGACAACAGCCGTGCTACTTTGCTGGTTTCTTCTTTCTAAGAAGGCCCAGGCCCCTCCTCTGTAAAACAGGGACAACAAACTACCCTTCAGCATTGCTATGGCAAATAGGACAACAAACAGAAGCCACAGACACAGACACAAAACACCTCAGGGAGGCCTGAGGAGTGAGCTGACCATAGCGTGACGCCCTCAATGACCACTGCGCGCGATTTTGCTCATCAGGTTCTTGAGCCGGGCATCTCCTGCCTCCCTACTGCTTTCAAGGATGCCCTGGAAGCATCACACTGGGTGTTAATGGAAGAAGAAAACATTTTCCAAGGCTGAGGTCAATATCCTAGGTCCTCTATCCCCACGTAATGACAAATATGACATTGGTTGACCAAGAAGGATAAACTATTAGGATGTTAAGATGCCTATGTCGGGAGGGAGGGGAAAAATGAGGACTTAATGCCGGGGGGAGGGGGGGGGGGTTAAGTGGAGAGAAAATGTTTTGAGACTGATGAAGGCAATGAATGTACAAATGCGCTTTACACAATTGATGTGTGTATGGATTGTGATAAGAGTTGTAAGAGCCCCTAATAAAATGATTAAAAAAAAAAAGAAATGAAAAACAAGATGCCTATGATCTTACTCTGCATAGAAAACAAAACCAAAAGTAAATGTATACAAATTGAGAAAGAATTGAGTTAGAATGTTATTTCTTTCTGTTACTGTCCAAAAATTATTACTGTACAATTTAACATGTATTAAAAATTATAGGCTTGATAATACATTGAGTATAGATTATAAAAATGTGCCAATAAAACTTAAAAAAACACAAATTAAAATGCTACACGAAAGCGATTTGTGTGAAATTAACTAAATGTCTAGTAATAATAGTTTTGATGGCTTATCATTGGCCAGGTCTTGTCTATGTGCTTTCATATATTATTAAATCCTTAATCCTCACAACCCTTCTGTCAGGTAAGTGGTGAAAAGTTTAGCCATTGTGTTGATGAAAGTGAGGCAGGGGGTAGTTAAATAAATAACTAGCTCAAGGACACACAAGTCACAGGGGTAGAGCTTGGGTTCCCTGCTGCCGTCTGGCTCCAGAGCCAGGGTCCAGGTGCACCACCCAGGGAAGCACAGCTTTTGGAATGGCCTGGCTGTTGCTGTCACTGCCATGCTATCAACTTGTAGGGGCAACCATTACTGCTCATTAAATATAAAAGTCCTCTGAAATCAAGCATCCTCACATATTGTCATATTCAATGCAAGCCACAGTGACAAAATTGACTAACTCAGTATGTTTAAGAGAGCTTTTCTGGTAAACTGTGATACATACAGGGGCTGCAAAAAGTTTGTAGAAAAATGGAATTATTAAGAAATGGATTTTTTCCGCACACTTTTTGAAACTCCCTTCATACTTAATACTACAGGCATTTAGGCTTGACGGTATTCATGCTAGCTAATGTACAGAACCCAGAGCTGATGTTCTCTGAATGCTAAAGTGACCTGCTACATAGGTAATCAAAATCACAGGATTTCCATTCCTGAAAGTAATCTACAGGAGTGATCATATGATCCTATGCTTATAAATACTCAGAGACTTCAAGCATAAACATAAAAAGCTTTAAAACTTACTTCAGTAAATGTTTTTAAAAAACATCCTTGTATCAGAAGGTTTAAGTGCTCACGACGAAGTAAACACACGCCAGCTCTCATGAAGCCACAAACGTAAAACACGATCTTTAGTGCTCGCCCCATGCCCCCACCTTGGCTAACATCAAAAGCTCAGAAAACCTAGCTACTCACAAAATATTAACACACCACACAGCTCTCATAGAAAGAATATCATGTAGAAATCTTTCGTAATTTTTATCCTACCTAATATTACTTGATTTCAGATGCTCCTCTGATTTCAAGTTTCCGGTCCTCATCTGGGACTTAAATGAAATGTTTTCTCCCACAATGACTATCTGCAAGAACATCCAATTCCTCACAAGGTAGAATGGTTTAAGACATTCTAAGAGGAGAGGAAGAAAATATGGGTTAACTCACAATAACATGGGAACTCCCTTGAAGAAAATAATTTATCTTTATTTGAAATAATGCAAAAGACAAAATATCAGACTTTTTTCCTTAGAATATACCATATATATTTTTTTTTTAATTTCAAACATTCCACTTTCAGACCAGTATGTTCTGCTAATCTCTTTCCACTACCCAATAGAGTTATTGTAGTTCCACGGTGAGAATGTCCTATAACACTGTAGCAGATGGTTTGTTCAAACTGGACTGCTTAACAAAGGGAAAAAAACGTTCAAATCATAAAACGAACTGAAAATGGCATATTTTTACATCTTTAATCACTTACTGAACAATTATTTGGACATTTCTACATGCTATACACAGTATTATATGTAGGGTACACAACAATGAACAAACAGACACGGTCCCTGCCATAGATAATAGAGGCCTGATGGCAATGTTGGATTACTGGTGCATAGGTGTTTCAAACCTATGTATGAGCTGCTCCCTGGAACAAAGGATGAGGCTTGCTGCTTCTGTAAAGACTTAGTGCCGCAATGAACAGGTATGGACTCAACGGCAGTGGGTTTTTTTCCTTGGGGGTAGGGGTAAAGGAAGACCAAATAGGAAGGAAGCAGCCAGCAGTATAAAGTAGCAGATAAAAAGCATGGGTTCAGGAGTCATACTGCCTATGTTACGTGGGATGTCAGTCAAACTGATGACCAAACAGACCATGGTAAGTTGGGGATACCAACCTAATTCAAAGAAGTGACCAAGGTAATTATTATTGTCTACTGGTAATTGCTGACTTAGTTATGCACCAAATCCAGTGCTAAAGGTTTTACATGCATAATCTCATAAAATTATGAATACAGTAGTTGTTGCTGCTAGGTGCCATTAAGTCAGTTCTGAGCATTGGTCAACCTGTGCACAACTGAACAAAGAAACACTGCCTGGTCCTGCACCACCCTTGAGCCCATCATTGCAGCCACTGGGTCAATCCATCTCCCTGAGGGCCTTCCTCTGTTTCACCGCCCCTCTACTTTACCAAACATGATGTCCTTCTCTGGGGACTGGTCTCTCCTGACAACATGTCCAAAGTACCTGAGAGGAAGTCTTGCCATCCTAGCCTCTAAGGAGCACACTGGCCACAGTTTTCCCGAGACAGATGTTTCACTTTTTGGCAGTCTACAGTACTTTCAATACTCTTTTCCAGTACCACAATTCAAACACATTAATTCTTCACTGGAGTTCCTTATTTAAGGTTAACTTTCATATGCATTATGAAGCAACTGAAAATATCATGGCTTGGGTCAGATGCACTTTGGTCCTCTAAGTAACATCCTTGCTTTTCAATACTCTAAAGTGGTCTTGTGCAGCAGATGTGCCCTGTGCAGCATGTCTTTTGATCTCTTGACTGCTGCTTCCATAAGCCATTGACTGTGGATGTGACTGAAGATGAAATCCTTGACAACTTCAATCTTTACTCCATTTATCATGATGCTATTTATTGGTCCAGTTGGGAGGATTTTGGTCTTCCTTACATTAGAGTTGTAATCCATACTGAAGGTTGCAATCCTTGATCTTCGTCAGCAAGTGCTTCAAGTAAGTACCCCTCACTTTCAGCAAGCAAGGATGTATCAGCTGCATATCACAGGTTAATAAGCCTTCCTTCAGTCATAATACATTGTTCTTCATATATCCAGCTTCTCTGATTACTTGCTCTGCAGATTGAACAAGTATGGTGAGAGCATATAAACTAGACACACTGTGGGAAACTAAGATCTGGGAGAGTGTATGCGCAAAGTGGGAATCTGAGAACTAGGAAGAAACTGTAAGCGGACAAGTTCTCTACCCTTGTATTTAAGGAATCTGGGAGCAGATTAGGGTAGAGGAAGGCCTTGGAGATGCATCCCAGTCACATTCTGCTAACTAAAAGCTATTCCCCACAATGAACTCCCCGTAATAATGCCAATTTTAAGATGCTGTTTGCAAGCATGTGGTTGCTTCTACATGCCTGAAGTTTAACTGCTTGAAGGCTATCTGCCTCAAGGTTCTCTGCCATCTAGATCAGTCCAGTCCACCCTAAGTACAGCCCATTCCCTATTGATAAGGATCAAACAATGCTCCCTTGGAGAAGAAGTCAGGGACACCTAAGGTCAAGTCAGCTCAGAGATGACCAAGGTTAAGCAGCCATCTTAACTCTAGAACCCACCCATCTTGTTAGTAACTTCCTGTCATATGCATGTCCCCTTCCTGTTACTTGTACGTCTCTAATACAACCCCTTCCTATTAAGTATGTGTATGACCTGGCTTGCTAACCTAAGTTTATATAAGCCTATTAAGATAATTCATTCCCTCACCACTCTCTGGTTCTGGTCTCCATGGAAGAGATGAGCCCTTGCATGCCTTGTCTGATGTTTCTATAACTTACCCTTCAATTATACAACCACTCCTTGGACCCATGCAGCTATGGAGGCTGGTCCTCCAAAACACGCACCTTCCTGTGTAAAATTTCCCTTGTTATGTTTGTACAACTGCCTCTTGGTCCCTATACAAGCTCTGCATGAACACAATTACTATTCTGAATTCCATTTTTCTCAAGAGTATCCAGTTTGCTATGGTCTACACAATCAAATGCCTTGGCATAGTCAATAATAAAACACAAATAAACATCTTTCTGATAGTCTTTGCTTTCAGCCTAGGCCCACCTGATATCAGCAATGATATCCCTTGTTCCATGACCTCTTCTCAATCTGGCCTAAACCTCTGGCAGCTCCCTACTGCAACTGTTGTTGGATGGTCTTCAGCAAAATTTTACTTGCATGGGATATCAATGATATTGTTCTGTAATTTCTGAGACTGTACAAATATGGATCTCTTCCAATCAGGTGGCCAAGTGGTTGTCTTCCAAATGTCCTGGCACAGGCTAGCGAGTGTTTCCAGGATTTCAGTAGTCTATCAATTCCTAGAGCCTTATTTTTGGCTAATGCTTTCGAGTACAGCTTGGGCTTCTTCCTTTGGTACCATGTCCACTAGTTCTTTTTGGTACAGTGACTATATTCTTTTGATGCTTCTTGCATCATTCAATATTTTGCCCAGAGAATTTTTCAATATTGCAATCTGAGCTAGAATTTTCTTTTTCTTGAGTTCTTTCCATTTGATATGCTGAGCATGTACTTCCTTTTTGGTTTTCTAGGGTTTTGCATTACATTGTAATACTTTGTCTTCTCTAGCTGCCCCTTAAAATTTTCTGTTCAGTTCTTTGACTTCATCATTTCTTCCATTTGCCTCAGCTACTCAACCATTAAGAGTAAGCTTCAGACTCTTCTGACATCCACTTGGATCTTTTCTGCCTTTTTCAATGACCTTTCACTTTCCTCATGTCTGATGTTCTTTGTGGGAGCGGACTGTCTTAAGATGAACTCTGGGAAAGGAATTCCCAGGCTTCTGAGTAACAACAGTGCATTAACGGGGCAGTCTGAACTTCATTTCCTTCTTCAAGCAGTACAGGACCACCACATTCCATGGTTTAGCAAGGTTTATGGGAAGGAGCTGACCTTCGCCTAAGATAAGGTAGACACTTTCTCTCCTGTTCCCTGGGAAACAGCTGAAACACAGCAGTCTGCAGGTGTGCAGGTATACTCCCTGTTCCTGGCTTTATTTTCCCCTCTAGACCCTCGACAAATTGGCTAAAATATTACTGCTTCTTTGTTTGCCTTCAAAGAAATTGTTAACAACCCTTTGTGTGAGAACTTGTCACGGAATGCAGGGTATGTGACAAGAACTGTATATAAACTTGCCTTTAATAAAGATCTGGGTCTTGGAGTCCCTTCTCCTTTGAGCCCCCTACACCCCAACTTTGTCCCTTGTCTTTTATATCTACTCTATTTTTTCAATTGCAACTGTGGCCCTCGTGGCCCTGGTCAATTTGTGAGCTGGCTCTCAGTTCTTGATGTCATCCCACAGCTCATCGGGTCTTCAGGCCTTAGTGTCCCCGCTCGCTCGACACCCTTTAGCTGGTGATTCCCTCTCTACAACTCCTAGCAAGGCCTATCTTCTGAGGCACCGCTACGTGGATCTGAATCAACAACCTCTCAGTTAGTAGTCAAGTGCAACCATTCGAAACACATAGTGCCTTCTGTTTGTCAGACAATCTTTTACGTGTTTTGCAAATATTACCTCATTTAATACTCATCAGTCTTGAGGCATGCACTATTATCCTCAAAAAGAAGGGAAGACTGAGGTAGAGAGATTAATAATTTGCTCAAGGTCAGACAGGAGACAAAGAAACCTGGAGGGCATGCTCTTAATTACTATACCTACCCTTTCTCTACATGTGGTTCTGTATATAACTTGAGAAAATGATAAGATCTTTTTGATATACAATAAACAAGACACAGACCTAGAAAGAGCAAAGCATATTAAATTTGTTCTGTGCAATACTAAGTAATTTTATGGAATTGAAATCAAGGCAGACGATATCTATCTTCTGCACTAAAAGGTTCATCTACACACTCCCATCTCTCCCAAGCCTCCTAAAGTTTTAAGATTTCTTATGGGGGTGGGGAAGGATTTTCTTGCCAGTCAAATTTCCTCCTTTCAAAAGCCAAACCAATATTCATCTAGTTGTTTTTAAAATCTAGCAATATTTGGTAGGTGTCTGTTATATAATCTCACTTTAAAACAGGATCACTATGAATACAATAGATGCACAACCCCTTCTCCCGCCACCCTCCCCAACCACCCCAAAAAGAAAGTCTTTAAAATCCAGAGGCCAAAAGGGGTGGAGAGGAGTTAAGAGGAGACTCAGAGATAATTCCTGTTTGTTTGTTTGTTTGTTTGTTTGTGGGGAGATGGAAATCACCTAAGCTTATGGATTCATTTGTAACCCTGGCTCCTAAAAATAAACCCTTAGCCTTTACTCTATAAATACCTCTCACTGGTCACATTCTCTTTTCTGAATGTGCGTCAATTAGCACTGTTCTTTAACAC